AAAAAAAGCAAGAATCTTGAATCCTGGGGATGCTTTAAAGACTACATCTTGAGATTTCAGTTAAGATAACGAATCCCCAAATTTCATTTTCCTTTCTATTAAGTTACGAAGACTAACTGCTGAGTTCTTGGAATTGTTCAGGCAGCTGACAAATGGTGCCCGGGGTCTGATTTCTTAGGGCTGGGGTAAACCATGGTCTTTCTGTGGTCCTCTCACTGTTCCGCATGGATCCCCACGTTCTGGAGTTCAGAACCAATCAGTGTCTTCTTGCAGGGGAAAGATCATCAGCACCCACTTCCAACCCCCAAGCCCTCAGGATTGGGAAAAAACAAGGCAGTACAGGTGAAAATCCTAGTTAGCTTGAGACAGTGGGGCAGGGCGGGGTCGGCTGCTGGAGTCTCCCTGAGGCTGGGAAGGTCTGGAGACTTCGCCCCAGGCACCAAGGCAGGCGGTGGGCTTAGTTCTGCCAGTCTGGGATTGGACCTGGCAGGGGGTGGGGCCTCGGAGGAACCGGGCCTCGCTGGTGCTAGGCTTCCTGTGCAGGCGCTGGGAATTGTGCCACTAGGCTAAGCAGAACCTAGTCTTCCCTGGAAAGAGGTTGGTTGCAAGGGACTGAGATGGAACCGCGCCCAACCCGCACAGATATCCCGCCGTGGGTGATAGTTCCCGAAGACCTGAAGGATCCAGAGGTGTTCCAAGTCCAGACGCGGCTGCTGGAAGCCCTATTTGGTGCGTGTCCAGTCCCCACCGGCTGCCCAGTCCCGGGCTCTCGGCCTCAGCGGCCTGCAGCGCTCATTCCTTTTCCCTACCAGGTCCGAAGGGATCTCGAATCCCTAACATCGAGCAAGTGAGCAAGACCATGCTGGAGCTGAAGCCTCTAGAAGCTTCTGACCTCACCGAAGTCATGGTTTATGGCAACTACTTGTACAAGCTTCGGACCAGGTGGATGCTGCAGTCCATGGCTGAGAGGATTCGCCAGCGCGTGGAGCGAGGTGAGACTTAAGAGGTGCCCCTACTCATTCCTCCCTCTAGCCTCTCCACCGCCTCACACATCGCCAGAGGTCACCTTGGTCTCTGGGCTGTCTCAGGGTCCTTTGGGAGTTTGGAGCCCTAGAGTGAGTCTAGGGTGAGAGGGAGCTGAGACAGGTCCTTCTGAACAGGGTTCAGTCAGTTCCCCCTCCTCCACCTCCAGGCTCCCAGGAGAACAAGAGAACGGGCCTAGTGGTGCCAGTCTCCAGACTCAGAATGCCCCCTTAGAAGTTCACAAAACAAAAGGACGGCTGGAAGTGGTGGTGAATCCTGGCATTCCACCTCACTTAACCCTCCTGTTGGTGTTTCTGATACAGGAATGATCAAGCTTGAGGAAGCCATGCAGTCCCTGGAACTAGGCCAGCCATCGAATGAAGACACTGGCACCCCTACGCAGACCTGAGGCTTTGGCCAGTGTTCAGAGTGGGTCTGGCTAGCTTTAATCTTGTAAGCCTTTCTATTCAAATACCCAGATGTTTTTGAATCCCTACCTTGCTCTGAGTTCTTTCCAAAGTTGCTAACTGAAGAATAAAATGTAAAGAATTGAATTTTCCTTAACATTGTCTGAAGGCTTGATGGTCACACTTTGTCTGATGGTACTGTGTGATCCTTAAGCTTAATCCTTGACTGAAAACCTCCAAAGGTGGAAAGGAGGGGTGGGGAATTCAAGGGCAACTTGGCTAGGGCCAAGAGGGCCTAGATCTGAGTGTTTAGAGTGTCACTGAACCAAAACCCTAGGAAAGTAGGTACCATACTGTCTGGAACTAATCTAGAAAGCCATTTAAAACAATAACTGTATAAGAAAGCCAGGTGTGAGAGCACACACCTTTGATCCCAGCACTTGGGAGGCAGAAGCAGTTTTCCCCAGTGGTGACTTTTCTGATAGTTAACCTGAAATGAATCCCATTGTGAGGAGCTCATTGACCTTAGGTGAGGTGGAGGCCAGCCTGGTCTATGTAGCAAGTTCCAGACCAGCCAGGGTTGTGTTTCAAAAACAAAACAGGAGTGGTGGTGACTTTAATCCCAGCAGAGGCAGAAACTATTGGCTCTCTGTGAGATCCAGGCCACCCTGATCTACATAGCTTCAAGGCCAGCTGGGGCTACAGGGAAACCCTGTCTCAAAACAAAACAAAAAACAAACAAAATAACCAAAACAAACTCATTGCTTCAGGGGGCTTATGACTATCTAGAGAGACAGGCTACACACATAGTGAGAGACCCTATCTCAGAAAAAAACCAACAGCAACAAAAATCCCAAACTCTATGACTGATTAGGCCCTTTGTAAGCCAACCAGCCCCTAATAGGTTTGTCCTCTGCTCTAAGTTATCCTTTGTTTCCCTCTAGACACTAACTTTTTGCTGATATTTTGCTTAGGACATGATTTCCTCAGATTGAAAAAAAAGTTTCTCTCTCTTACATGATAGTCATCTCTAGGGAGGACCTCTTCCCCACAGTCTGTTTATTACCTTTGCTTTATTTTCTTTTATAACATTTAAAACCCAGGTTAGCTGTTCATTTTCTCCCCTAATCCACTAGAATAGGAATTTAAGTCAGGACTATTGAGTTTGGGCATGGTGGCACACACCTTTAATCCCAGCACTTGGGAGGCAGAGCGGATCTCTGAGTTCGAGGCCAGCCTGGTCTCCATTAGCAAATCCAGGCCAGCTGCGGCTACCGAAGACCTTGTCTCAAAAAGACCAAAAAAAAAAAAAGGGCCAGTATAGCACAGTGTAGAATAAGGATCGTGTATTAAGACATCAGCCAGACTGCCTACAATTGAATCTTGGATCAGCAAATTACTTTAATCCTGGGCCTGTCATCAGCCTTTGTGGTTCAGTTTTCTGTATGTAATATGAGGATAGTGTCTCTTTGACAAGGTTGAGGTGAGGCATAAGTGATGTCTGTCCTGAGTCTCTGAAGGTTTAGGATGGTGTCCAACACATGGTGGCACAGGGCACCATTGAGATTTAGATATACATAGGTATGTCTAAATATATATATACATGGGTTTTGAGGCAGTTTCTCACCATCCCAGACAGGCCTGAAACTCACCTCTAGCCAGGTCCTTCTCAGACTTATAGCAATCCTCCTGCCTCAGCCTCCCAAGTATTAGGATTATAGGTATGAATCACCACTGTTTTCAATAAATTTAATTTATTTTAATCTTATGCATATGAGTGTATTACCTACATGATGTAAGTATACCCATATCATGCAGTGCCTTAGCAGGACAGAACAGGGTGTCAGATTCCCTATAACTGGAGTTATGGACAGTTGTTAGCTGCCAGGCCGGTACTGGGATTCGAACTCAAGTCTTCTGTTAGAGCAGCCAGTGCTCTTAACTGCTGAACCATCTCTCCAGCCCCTTCAATAAATATTTTTGAAAACATGAATAACATGCTGTTCTAGTTCAGTGCCAGCTGGGATAGACCTCTCCCTCTCAGGTCTAAAGGAGGCGGGACACTTGTTTCAGCTCCTGAGTAATAAAAAGGTCAGACAGCCAGGCGTGGTGGCACACACCTTTAATCCCAGTACTTGGGAGGCAGAGGCAAGTGGATTTCTGTGAGTTCATGGCCAGCCTGATCTATATAGTGAGTTCCAGGTCATCAGCTGGGGCTACAGGGAGACCCTGTCTGAGAGAGAGAGAGAGAGAGAGAGAGAGAGAGAGAGAGAGAAACAATGGAACAGAACAGAAAATGGAATATGGATTGATATTACATTACAATAAAAAGGGTTTTGTTTTGTTGTTAGCGTCTCACTATGTAGCCCTGGCTAACCTGCAATGCAAAAAGATCTGCCTGCCTCAGCCTTCCAAGAGCCTGTGCCACCATGTCTGTCTATAAAACATTTTTAAGCTGGAAAAAATGCCTAGGATGAAGAATTTTGAGGTAGACCAAACTTTTCCCATTAACTGTGGCTTCTTACACTATGTAGCTGAGCTAAGTATTCCCCATACGCCAAAGAACAGGAAATTCATTCATCTACATCTAGTTCTTCAAAATCAAAGATCAACTGGCCTGAAACTGGCTATGTAGACCACGCTGGCCTTGAACTCACAGAGATCCTCCTGCCTCTGCCTCCCAAGAGCTGGGATTTCACAGAGATGCCCCCCCACCCCCGATTTCACAGAGATGCCCCTGCTGCACACCTCCAGTGCTGGCATTAAAGATGTACACCTGGCTTTTGGGGGTAGTTTTGAGCTTCAGCTCGCTGGGAACTTATTATGTAGCTCTGACTGACTTTGATTTCACGGAGATTCACCTGCCTCTGCCTCCAGGCTGTTGGAATTAAAGGTGTGCACACTCAGCGAAGATCAATTTTAAAAAAAATATTCTGCTTTGGTTTTTTTTTTTTCATTGCACACTGTACCTGATTACTCTGGGGTTTGAACTCAGGTTATCAGGCTTTGGCAACAAGCATCTTTACCTACTGAGCCATCTTGCTGGCCCTGCTTTCTTTTTTCCTTTTTTTTTTTTTGAGACAGGGTCTGACTTTGTAGACAAAGTAGACTTGAACTTGGAGAAATCCTCCTTCCTCAGCCTTCTGAATGCTGGAATTACAGACATGATTCACCCAGCCAGAGTATGTCAATCATAAATGCAGATTATTTGCCTCTTACAGTCAGATAGTACTCCATTTAATTCTCCTTAGAATGTTGAATAGTTCTAATCTTTTTCTTTTACAAAAATGCCCTGAATTCACTGAATGCTGTTTTGCCTTTCTGTCTGTAGACTAAATTCCTAGGACGGGAATTGCTGGTCTGTAAGGAAGGTTGGGGGTGGGGGGGGCTGCAGGGTGGGGTGGTGGTGGTAGGGAAACAGCTTAAGGGTGTGACTGTTAGAGCACCTGCTTAGCATTCTCTGGGCCCTGCTTCAACCTCTAGCACCCACAAGCCAAGCACAAGCAAAAAAGTCACAGCATTTTCCCAGATGTTTCCACTTTGTCTTCAGTGAGAGGAGAAACAGCTTCACTCCCAGAAGCAACCCATGAGATTGGCTGTGTCCTCACAGAGCCACACCTGGTAGGTGCAGTGTCCTCTGTAGCGCTTGTTTCAGCTTGTTTGATGGCCCTTGGAGAGAATCAGCCGACTATGAAAGATTGTGAGGATACTTCTGAAGCTCAGTTCTGCAATGTGAATCAAACACAAAATCTGACACTGCAGGCTGAGGGTGTAGTTCCAAATGTACAGGTCCAGTGTTCAGTCAGTGGCCCCCAACACCTCTACAATACCCCACAACAAAGACAGACCCTGCCCTTTAAGTCCTTTCAGGTGTCTATATCAATAAAGATAGGAAAATTGTTGGAAATTTAAGAAAATACCATGAATTCCAAGTATGTGGCAGATGAAAGGTTTTTCAGCCCTAAGAAACAAAAACAAAATGCTTGAAGGATGTTTAAAGGAAGTTGGGAAGTAATAACATGAAGATTAAAACCATTATTTTTCTTGGAATGGCTTTCTATTTTTAACTGGTCAGCTTATAATAATGATTATGGGAAACAAAACAAGTTTTCATTGTTGTGGAAATTAGAGAAGTCAAACCCTATTGTGTGTCAGATGTTTGGAGAGATACTGAGGAAAGCCTAATAAAAGCTGATAGGGCCTGTTGTAGTGGGGCCACACCTATAATCTACACCTCAGGGGCAAAGGAAGTAGGAAGAGCTGGAGTTTAAGGCTAACCTGGGCTGTACAATGATTCTAAAGAAATCCAAAAGATAAAAAATATCCCAACACCACCACCCCGCCCCCCAACAAAAATCCAAACAAAATGGCTAATAATGACAATAGCCAAGACTAATTTAGAGCCTTGGGCATTGTACGGTTAAGGAAATCAAGACCACACTGTAAATGGCCCAGCCTGGCAAAAGCCAGTAATTGAATCTTTAAAATGTGTTTATTCCCAGAGCCAGCCATTTGTGAGACAGTGGTTAGCATCCTAAAGAGCTATCTTCCATCTTATCTTCAGCGAGTAGGTCACACTGGGAGGACAAACAAAGGCAGTGAGTCATTCCAAAGTGTAGTCTTGTCCCTCCGGGCAGGTGACCTGCTTGTCTCTGAGATTTATGGTGTTGGTCTTTTTCTCCTGTAGTAAGAGGAGGGCTCACAAACACTACAACACCTGAGTCTTGCATCCTTCAGAACCAGTCCGGATGGAAGATTAATGCAGAACAAGCCATGAGCAATATGTGCATGCATATTTCTTCCTAGGGAAGGAAGTAAAAGTATGGTCTTATAATATAGAACATGCGTTGTCCCTCATCATCTGTCAAAACACTTCCAGGCTCAACATTTCTATATTTAAATGTATACAAGGTTTTTGAAGACCAAGGGAAATATTTTACTCTGGGTGGGCAGATACAGTAGGAAAAACATTTTTCCCTGGTGGACTCTGAAGGCACTTGCC